CTGGTATTGAAAGAGGAGTGATGCCTCTGTAGTTCTCACACTTGCTGAGATCTCTTTTCCTTGGTATTTTGATGAAGTATCCTTGTTTTCAGTCTGATGGTACTTGTTCCTCATCCCAAATGAAGTATTTTCGCAATTGCTTCCACATCAGCTTTCATCGACCCTGCTGGAATGTTGTCTGGTCCTGCTGCTTTGCCGCACTTGATTTGTCTGATGGCCATACTGATCTCGTCAATTGTAGGCGCCCAAACATCAATTGGGAGGTCCGAAGATGCTGCTGCGATGTTGGGTGTGTTCAATGGATGTGGTGGATTCAGGAGTTCGTTAAAGTGCTAAACCCACTTGTTTCGCATTTCTTCAGTGTTGCGGCTTACTTTGAATTCCTTGCTTTTCACTGTAGTCCTGGTTTAGGATAGTTTCCGGCGAGCTTCTTTGTTGTTTTATACAATTGTCTCAAGTTTCCTTCTCTTACAGCATTTCCCGCCGTCACTGTTAGATCTTCCACATATTTTTGTTTGTCAGCTCGGATACTCTTCTTCAATTTCTTGTTTGCTTCTGTGAATTCAGCTTGTGCGGTTATTTTTTCTGCTCTTGTTTGGCTGACGTCGATTACTGTCCTCCCTTCTTCAATATTTCCAAGAATACGAACAGATATCCCTTCCCTTTGATGGTGCTTCCTGCGACCCAGAACTTCATGATATGTTGAAGTGATTGCCTACTTGATCCCTCTCCAGTTGTTCTCCAATGTTGTTTCCTCTCCACCTAGTATATCGTGCAAGGCCTGAAGCTAGTCTCAGTGTCCTATCTGTGTCTAGTGTGTTTCACTAATGCCGATCACCTCGAGGTTGTATCTTTTCATTTCTGCTGCAACTTGAAATAGTCTCCCAGTCTCCCACAATGTACGAACGTTCCATGTACCTAGCTGGTTTTAGTTGAGAAGGAAGGCCAATTCCATGTCCAACCACTTCTGCTCTATCCGTCTTGGGACCGGCAGTAACTTCGAAGAGACTACAGGCGTAGTTACGCACCGTCTAAGTGGATTTGAAATTCAATTTTCGGACATTTCGGTAAATACTAATGTTCATTGAGTAGTGGTGAGTTCCAGAATAGAAAGTGAACATTCGTAGAAACACCATACAAACAATAAAGTGACAAGTCGTCTTGATTTCCACTTGACATTGCTGACTGGTGATGTATCGTATAGACGTAAAAATATTGGATTACGAACAGACACAGAGAAGGGGTTAGACGTTAGAATAAAGTTAAATTCGGACGATGATAATATTCACCAAGATTCAGATGGAACTAGGATTAGTAATACTGACCATCGAAGTTCCAGAAATTGGTCTTATCAGAAATTCATCACTAAGTATCTCAGGAAAATGAAAACGCTAAATATCGTATTCGTTGAACTACATTCATCCAGAAAGCTGTAAAAATATATATATGAGAATTCACTTCGACGAGAATTCCATATATTCCATCATGTACAGCATTTATTTGAAGAGTTACGAATGCTGAACCTATTTGTTTGATTTTTAAAAATAAAACGAACCCAATAGTTCATATCATAGATCTGAAAGTAATTTCAATAATGCTGTTCAAAATGTATTCTTTTACATAAATACTACTTAATTGTACTAAAAATTATCTCTATCTGATGCTTTAATAATAAAAGTAATGATAATTATAAAAATCACTCAGAAATAACATCACAGTAGGTCATATCGAACATATGTTGACTAAATTACATGTATGGAAACTCAATTGGTCTGACTGTAAAACACATGTCTAAACCTCCGACCGCATCCTGGCTGGGAACCGGCAGTAATTTCAGAACAGCTACACACATAGTGAGTTTTCTATTGCCCTTAATTCAATTATAACTCACAAGATATACAAAATTAAACATGAATTATCTGGTCAAGTAGAAACGCAATTAAGAAATTACAATGTGCACATCACTTTGTAACGGATTATCCTTCGAAGTTATTCTGATAATTGGCATTTTACTCGACCTGATAACCGTCAGTAGAAAATTCTCAGTGGTGCGTCAATTTCAAATGACAACACAAAGCATTCACTGCCGATTTTTAACGTACAGCACATGTCAACGAACCACAAGCACATGAAATGAATATAAACAGATATGCCAATCCAGGAGAATGAATCAATAGAATTGAAGACATTATCATACAAAAACGGATAAGTCATAGAGCGATTAGAATAACTAACATACAAGCTAGTGAGAGGGATGTTTGTACGCCGTAACATTTGGTCAAGCATACATCCTCAAACAGATGTTATAATAATAACAATGATACAAAGAGATAAATAAATTATAATTGTCCAAGTGAGACTGTGTTTTTAATAAGTTTTTCGAATGTCTTAATCAAACTTAACGCATACAAACTCGAGTGTGGAGGAACTTTGTAGCTCAGGTGGATGATTGTGGTGGTGTTTCGTTCTCTAAGCCGGATGTTATCGTTGTAGAGCTTCATTAACACAAACTTCAGATATAAGTGAAGTATTAGAATGTCTCTACGTATGAATCGTAGCTTGTTCTGTAAACCTCGATCTTGATCGGCTGCTGTTGACCTTGAACCTGTTGTTGTTTGCCTCGTTTAAACCAAAACAAGTGATTCGGGTAAATGACGGTTAGAATATTCATCATAAATAAAAATGTACATCAATACTTAGACAAAAATTGCCACTCAGTTATTCCACCAACAATTATTCAATTATTCAAGTCACCAGCAACCAAAATATGTTATTCTATCCCTCCTGGGTAGATCAGACTATTTGAAAGATAATATTTAGTCGCTTTATAACGCAGAGTGCTTCTTAGTCTGGAATGATGCTTCGATTCACAATCAAAATGCACAATTCCGATTAATACAAGCTACGCAGTCAAAACAGGAACAAATTATAAAGTATTTCTCCATGACTAAGGATAAGCTTATACATCATAAATGCAGTTCACAAACAAACATAGAAACTCAGTATAGGCACAAAGAGTAGAAACCGTGATACAATACAAATATTATCATTTCAAATGAAATCGAATAGAGTAAGTAACAAAATATACAACTGAAAGAATCATTAAGAACGAATTACAGATATATACATGGAGGGATTTTCACAAACAGATCCTTCATGTGCTTGTGGTTCGTTGACATGTGCTGTACGTTAAAAATCGGCAGTGAATGCTTTGTGTTGTCATTTGAAATTGACACACCACTGAGAATTTTCTACTGACGGTTATCAGGTCGAGTAAAATGCCAATTATCAGAATAACTTCGAAGGATAATCCGTTACAAAGTGATGTGCACATTGTAATTTCTTAATTGCGTTTCTACTTGACCAGATAATTCATGTTTAATTTTGTATATCTTGTGAGTTATAATTGAATTAAGGGCAATAGAAAACTCACTATGTGTGGAGCTCATCTGAAATTATCACAAACTAGCCTCATCGCAAAATACGGATGTTGAGCTAAGCAGACTTAGGTCTACCAACGCGACCTCTTGGGTATTCAAAGAAATTCGATTCAAACAAAATAATTCCAACGTGCGATATTGCTACCGGTCGACCACGAGCATTTATACCGAAGCCGTTTAGACGAAAACTTTTTGAAGCAATGCGTTATATATCACATCCGGGAAAGGAGGCCACGATCAGCCTGCTAAGCTAGCATTTTGTATGGCCAAGTATGAACCGAGATGTTCGCAACTGGACGCAGGCATGTATAAAATGCCAAAAAGTTAAAGTATATCGTCGAAAAGAACACATGAGTGATATAAGAGTAACGCTTTCAAAGAAAAATCTGCATCGAGTATATGTTCCTAAGCGACTGAACGACAGCACCCATGTGTTTTTCAGGACGGATTTGGTGCGACGTCCCTTACAACCGACCAAGGATGGTTCATTTAAAGTTATCGACAGAAACGATAAATCTAACACAGTAGATAAAGCTGGAAAAACGGATGTAGTTAGCATCGACAGGGTCAAACCAGCTTTCATCGAAGGTGACGAACAGCCAATAAACGCAAACCCATCGACAGCAATTGAATCACTTAAATGCGAGCTCAAACTATCTGAAGCAACAACACAGAAAACAGAATGAAGTTCACCAACGACCAGATATAGACGAAGGGTCAGGTGGCCGCAAAGATATATAGCCACCATTTCGAACTAATAATTCCTCTCGCCATTTCGAATACAAAAATATTTCTTTTTCTTCGCATCTGTCAAAAAATTCCAATTTATCTATTATTGCATTCAGTATCTTTTTTAGTGTTCCGAAATTGAGATATTATGACCTAAAAACATTGCTATATTTTTTTATTTATTTTTAATCCGTTGTGTGACCTCACGAACGTACCTGAACAAGATAATCATAGCTTTCGTAACTTTCAGTGTTTTCCGACAATTTTGATTTTTTTCGCAAACACACTTTCGTATCTTTGTTTGCTGGAAGGGGGCTATTGTAGTGACCTCACATATATTTGAATTCGCTTACATTTTATTCGGTTAATTTACTTAACCAGGTCATTTGTATAACAATAACTTATTTGTACCATTGGCCCTTATTATTGTGTGGTTTGTATGAATTGGTATGGCTAAACATTGTGTACACCTGCGCAAATATTCATCCTATTCGCTTTAATATTAATCTCCTAAATATCACGATGACTCAGATATCTCCCTTTGTATAAATACGAACATTTTTAGCTTATCAATTCATTCGCACATTCGCACATTCACTCGCTGGTGTGTCTTCTCTGTCTGCTTGTGGTCTGCTATCCTTTTGTGGTGTGCCATAATAAACGTATTCAAAACTTCGAGTTTACCTTCTGATTTATAACCGTCAGACGCCATCTTGTAACGATTGTCTGAACGAGCTAATTAAGAAGATTAAGAACACCTCAAAATCGGCACACTACACCTTCATTTTGAAAGCATCAGAAAGAGATAATTTTTAGTACAATTAAGTAGTATTTATGTAAAAGAATACATTTTGAACAGCATTATTGAAATTACTTTCAGATCTATGATATGAACTATTGGGTTCGTTTTATTTTTAAAAATCAAACAAATAGGTTCAGCATTCGCAACCTTTCAGATGAATGCTGTACATGATGGAATGTATGGAATGGTCGTTGAAGTACCTCCTCATACATTGTTCTACAGCTTTTTAGATAAATATAGTTCAACGAATACGACTTTCATGTTACGTTAAATTTTTCGAAATCAACAGTCACTCATTGATGAATTTTTAGTGAAAAGAGCATCATGGCAGTTTCTGGTGCTTTGATGGTTAAAATTACTTAACGTCCATATAATCTGTCGGTTATACTGTCCTTTTAGATATCTCACAATATTTACTATACATAACTGACTTCGTAATTTTTTACAGCTCTTTGAATTCAAGTTGTATGATTATTGTATGTATGCTCTATTGTGAAACTGAATCCATTCTAATTGTGAATTTCGATAGATTTATATTCTCAAGATCTACATTATAACTGAACTCAGTTTTATAACTAGCATAAGAAACTAATGAAAAATTAGCGATTTATCTGTGATAACGACACAGTGATATGAAATTAAGTTGGCTACAATGATACTGAAACTTCGTGTGTTCAGATCGTGTTCGAGTAACGAATACATACTAAAGTAGAGTTTTGTATGGAAAAAAACTGCTACACTAATTTTACTGGTTCTCAATAGTCATCTCGCTGATACATAATGAGATGTGGACAAATTACTGCATAACATAAATCATTCATCACCAATTCAACATGTGTAACCATTGATAACGCCAAATAAATTAAACATTGAATAAACAATACAATATTAAGCGCTGTTTTATTTTATTGGATTTCCTAACTGAAGCGATGATGAATTATGGGTAGTACGAGTTTCTCGATCATCAGTTAATCTTCGACGGTCAAAATTACTATCCCTACGTCCATCCGAATTTTGGTGATTGTTATCAATGTCCGAAGATAACTTTATTTCAATGTGATGACCACTCTCTGTGTCTGTTCCTAATCCCATAGTTTTACGTCTGGAAGATACACCGCCATTAATATCGAAATAATCATAGGAGAATCTTTTCGAGTAACTCTTTCTCTTTCCACCTCTCTGTATTTTTGAATGTTGGAATGCGCGTCTTCCATATCGGTCAATTGATCCCTTCACTTTGAATCTGTGTGAGCGACTTGACAAACTATCGTATTCTCCTTTTCCATGCCGTTTGAAATTTCCATGAAGATTTGCTTTTTTTTCATCTCTAAATGCATATCTGTTGCTTGATTTTCCTGTTAGCCATATCAAGCCGAATTCAAGACCATTTTTATCTCTACTATTTGTATTGTTTGTTTCCAAACGTTCCCTACGTCTACTCGTATCGTCTTCCAGCGACATTTTCTTCTCGTTGCCGACTTTCACTGAATTCTCTTCTAAAGTAACTTGATTTATTATAATACGTAAGAATACCAAATTCAAAAAAATCACAATTTTCATTGCTCTCCTTGCTCACATGAATAATATTCATTCAGAAAATTTTAATTCTTTCCAATTATATACTAATTGTGTAGAATTATATTCTTGCATAATGTTCGCAATTCACTATCATATTGTTGCACTTGAACGATCGATCATTTGTCATATTTGAGTTTATTGGTGATGATTTGTTGATGTTGAATAAATGACGCAGTGTTTTATGCTGTATCACTATTTAAATAGAGACTAACTATGAGACTGAGTGATGATTTGTATTACTAGCTAGTTTATGTATGCTTGGTATCGGAATAATCCTGAGGTCATGGTTTTACTGAACACACACACTTACAATTGAATTAGCATGATGATACTAATGTGTACTGAATGTTTCGATAATTGCTCACGGTACTCTCTGAAAGATTGAGTTTGTCGCAGTTTATGAATAATCTTGGTGAAAGTTTAATATGTTGAAACTTATTTAGATAGTTGAAAAGGAGAGTGACTTATTAATTAGAGAAATTACCAGCTTATTAGTTGTTCAATTTACAAATATTTTTGATTCATTTTGCGCAGTTTTTTTAATATTTATATTGGTGGTGTCAAATGTTTCGGTAAAACTTGATAATTGAACTGCTATATTTTTCAACAGGGTGGGTGATTTTCACTTATTTACTATAAACTTTCACTTCGAAACTTAAGGTAAGCCGAGTTATTAAGAGAAATAACATTTCTTTGTGTTACACACTTACAACAATCTGGTCATGTACAAACATGTCAGAGGGTTTCATATTTCAAACAAAAAATATCAATGAAATAAAATGTTAAATGGTGAAAGTAATAATTACAGAACAAAATTGGGAAGATAATTTTAATTTCAATATCGATCATATAAGAAAGTGTTCACCTATATGTTACCACGAGATGACTTCAAGCCTACGAAATGTATTTGAAAATTATGTTTAATTGTTTCCATACACATTAAGAGCAGTGAATTTCTAACTGTCCAAATATTTAGCAAAACTGATATTTTGTCCTTAGTAATGTTTGACAGCTGTGTCGAATTTTAATCGATGTTCCGTTTCTATTCTGTAATTTGCTATCGATGGAAATAGTTTTCCACTTCACATGTATATCAAAGCTGTTTACAGACTCTGATTCGAAAGCCGTCCACGCTTATGGTATTTACACTTGATTATGATATCGCTCCTCTCTATGTATATCTTTTTACACAAACATGTGAATTTGTAAATGTGATAGCTTGTGACTTGACGGTTTAAGCAATCTTCAAGTTTATGTGTAAATTTCGACGTAGTCTTTACAATCGCAACGAGTTTAGCAACGTAATATGTTTTATCAATGACTAAGCATAACTTGAAACATAAGAAGTAAACAATCTATGTTCATCTTTTGTATGTTTCGCTTAGTTAGGAAATATTCAGTAAGACGTTCACATTAGGGTTAATAATAATAATATATATTTATTCTCAAATAGCTACGTTACAAGAGTCACGCCAGTTTACAGGCTAGATCAAATTGTCACAAATGCTTTCATGATTACTGTGAAGTTATAGCAGTTAAATTAAGTATAAGAGTCAGTTTCTGATTGCATATTTACACCATGTCACTGACAGAAACAGTATTATACAGCCACATTTTCAATAGTAGAGTACAAATAAGGAAGGAAGGTGCACAATAGGTTCTTTTGGCGATTTGCCGAGATCATTAGTGAATTTGTTGGGAAAGGTCATATGGAACGCGCTCGATACGAGCTGTGATCCAGACAGTCATGTACCTAGGGTGCATGTTCCCTAGAGTCGTCAAGGATTTTCCACCGTGAATGGGGTTCTGAAAAGGAGAAGAGAGAGAGAGAAAAAGGCAGCAGTGTGGCAAGTGTATATATATAACCAAAGCACTACTTAATCTGTCATGTTGAAGTAGTCAATACAGTACTAAGTCAAGATAAAATTCATACTGACCACTTAAATTAAAGTAAATTATGGGAATATAAGAATATAACACACAGATAAAGGAGTACAGCAAAAAGAAGGAAGAGTTGTGCAGTGTCAGGTGGATAGAAGAGCAGTCGAAGTAAGAAGCTGGATTTATGTACGTTGAAATCGAAATTCTAATTGAAAGAGTAGAGTTTTTAAAAATAAAAATTTGATGAACAAAATCTCGCACTGTCTAACTGTTTTTTTAATTATTATTATTGAATGCCAACCTCTAAGTCATACTGTTAGCGCCTGAGTAAGAATGTTGCAGGTGTCTCGACAGAATAGCGACCTCAGCATAGTTTTGCAAACATGTACCACAGAAGTAGCATGCGTTTAAGAGCAACCTCAGTGTTACTGATTAGTCGTCTCACAAATCTAAAGAGCCGAAAGCAAACAAAATATTCTGCCCCAAAAACATGGGTTGTTTGAAGTTATCGCCCACACCATCAATGTTTGCTGGTCAGTAACTCCACCCTCCCTCCTTTTGTGTTGTTGGCTCATGTTAAATGTTTAAAAGAAGCTATTGAGTTCTACTTGGTTTCCTATGTCTCACATTCTGTTGAGAAACACTATTTCTGCAAGTTCCTTTCATAAACTCGTCTGGCTGTTACAACTTATGAACTATTGGTTAGGCATCAATGCTATAGAGTTAACAGTTATGGAGAAATAGTAAGAATTTTCAAACAGGATATAAGCATTTAGAATGTAGTGGGGAAGATGTACTTGACTAGCTAAGCAGGAGATAAGAAGAGTATCACGGTTAAAAGTTGAGCAATAGATAACACTAAGGGGCCAAGGTAAGTCAATAGCGTGTAAGTGAGAACAGTATAATTGATAATAGGCAATGTGAAACTCACACAGTTGTAAGTGTTGATAAGGTTGCGCCCAGGAGAGTAGAGTGCATTCTAATCAACCAGTTTACAGTTGAACAATGTCGATCGACCCAGTTAGTAGAGTAACCTGTCTATTTCAAATAAAAACTAAAGAGATTTATATTCAACTAGAAAAATTAGTGCTACTTGGGAGTGTAAAAATAACTAAATAAGACGCAGCACTAAGTTCATTGTGTTTAAAGTGTATGCAGAACTATTAATATGAAAGCAGGGTGCGAGTGAGTTCACGAGCGCAGAAGAGTCAGTGCAACTGAGAGCATCATTAAGAAGTTGAACAAACTCATGTAACCCACTTGCCATGCGTATTTTTGAGGGAAGCCTATTCCATATAAGTGCATACTTAGAGAGGAAGAAGTTTTCTCGAGTTTTGGATCTATACTTCTCAAGTTTGACCGTTGATACTTTATGGCGAAGGTTATGTGTACAAGGGCCATGGATAAGGACTAAACTGCAGGAGGAATATGTGAGCTTGTGCAGGAGTTTAAAGTAAAGGATCAGATTGGACTTAAGCCTTCTTTTCCATAATGGATTGAGCCCGAGTTCAATACATCGGGTTGGATAGTCAATGGGTGAGCTATGATTTCGGACTTTACGAGTAAATTTCCTTTGTATTCCTTCAAGCTTCAACATATCAGACAGGCGTATGTTAGAAGATAAGAAAGAGCAGTATTCAGCAATAGGTCTTACGCATGTTTTATAGAGAATTGTTCTGGATTCTCTATGAAGGAAGTTACGAAAGATGAAACCAAGCATTCTTCTCATTCGGGAAACTTTATTGGAGATATGTTCGGAGAAGTTAAGGTTGTGCGAATAATGCACTCCAAGATCAGTTACGGATGTGAGTTTGGGCAATACATTCCTGTTGAGAATGAGATCTAATTTGGGAGACGTGTCTCCGAAACACATCCAGCCACACTTCTCAGTATTAAGTTCAAGGTTCCATTGCTTACACCAGACATCTACAGTATTGAGTTCGTGCTGGATTGTGTGCAACAAGTTTCCTAAGTCAGATTTGCTAGTTTGATAAATCACTTTTAGGTCATCCGCATAGAGGTAGGTTTTACCAGTGTTGAAACAACTGCATATGCTGTTGATGTAGATTATGAAAAGTAGTGGACCCAAACCACTGCCCTGCACAACACCACTGGTAATTGGTCGAGGTGTAGATGTATGTGAGTTGATTTTGGTAACCTGATATCTATCTGTGAGGAACGACCTAATCCATTGCAACAGGTGGCCACTAATACCGACGGACTGAAGTCTGTTGATTAAGAGACTGTGAGGTACCTTATGGAAAGCCTTTTTGATATCAAAATACAACACGATTACTAGTTGCTTTTGATCGCGTATGCTGGTAACCTCATTAAAGAAATCTAAAAGACATGTAGTGCATGACCTAGTTCTAATGAAGCCATGTTGAGAGGGGTCAATGTGACCTTCCCTGATTAAGTGATCAGATAGTTGATCTTTTATCACTTTCTCCATCACACGTGATATAACTGGAGTGATATTAACCGGTCTGTAGTTTTGGACTAAGTCTTTCGGTCCAGATTTATGTACTGGGACAATATGAGTCAACTTCAACGATACGGGGTATGTACCAGACTCAAGGGATAAAGTAAAAATTTTAAGCAAGAGCGCCGAAAGGTTCGGTCCTGCCATTTTAAAAAGTATGGAAGGTATCTCATCTGCACCACAGCTGCCATTAGGTTTAAGGGTTTTAATGGCGGCTTGAATATTATTAAGATCAAATTTGATGGTACAAAGATTATGCATGCTGCTACAGTGAGTGTTAGTATCAGGGGTAGGAGATGTGTTCAGATTGAGGGAGAACCATGTACTAAACAGTTCGCAAATAACAGCTTCGTCATAATAAGTCTGTCTATCTTGTAGTATATAATGAATTTTGCGATCTGAGTCCTTTTTTATGCGTTTGTTAGGCAAACGACAGAGGTTTTGGGACTTACACACAGTAGCGAGAGCATTATTTTTTTCTATTTGCCTATGCACTTCATGTTGATATTTTATACCTTCAAGTATAGCGTAGATTCGGTACAGGATGCTGAAGTCCTTAGATTTGCAATACGCCCGTTTGAGTTTACGTAGTTTAGCCCTAGCTTTGTAGGTGATATAAGGAGTAACTGTTTTGAAAGACGTTTTGAGTGGGATAGTCGCGTCTAGAGCAGATTTGATAGTGACGTTGAATATATGTAATGCATCAGGAAGTTCAAGACAAGAAAAAAACTCAGTCCAGTCGGAGTTCTGAATTAGAAACCGAAAGCTGTCCCAGTCAGCATGTTTTTAGTCTCTGCATTGAAAACGGTTTACTGTTTTAGATTTGTCACATTTAGCAAAAAACGGAAGATTGCAAAGAATAATTTTATGGTCACTGTTGTGAAACGTTTCGCAGACAGACACAGATGTTGGGGTCACATCGTGACAAAATACCAAATCGAGAATGTTGTGGTTCCTAGTAGGCAGGTGCACATGTTGTTGCCAACCGTGTATGTCTAGGGGACCAAGTAAGCTATCAAATCGTAGTGGACCGGAATGTGTCCGCCAGTTGATTCCAGGGAGGTTGAAGTCACCACAAATAATTTTGCAGGTGAATTTAAGACAGGCAGCCCTGGCAAACGACTCACCAATAGCAACGTCAACCGATCGACGAGTGTTAGGAGCTCGATATATGCATCCAACCAGTATTTTACATTCATGGGCGTGCACAGTCAGCCATATCGAATCAGGCACTTGATTAAGAACAGTATCATAAAAGATTTCTGGTTTGATGTCTCTAGATACATAGATGAGGCAACCACCACCCTTTTTAGATCCTCGGTCACCGCGAAAGAGTTCATAAGAGTCTATTAGAAGGTATGAGTCAGGGATATAGGAGGACAACCAGCTTTCAGTAATCAGGACAATGGAAAGATTGTTTAGAAGTACAAGAGAGCGTAAGTGGGTAATCTTATTGATAACAGATCGGGAATTAATTAGCATTAGTGTAACATAGGACGAATACTCATCTTTCAGGGATGCACGATGAGCATCTGGAGGGTTGTATGGTGTGTGTTCTAAAGAAGGGCTGGAAGTAGGAATATAGGCTTGATTGTAATGATCAGTTAGCTTGGGAGCGATATAGTTAGAGGGAGAAAGGTATTCAGAGACAGGCATGGTGAGAGAAACATGTGAGGTAGGAAATAATAAGTGTTGTTCGTCAGAGTTAACTGATGACTCCCAAAGAACAGATGAGGAAGTCGCTAGGGGGCATAAGGGTGGATCGTTTCGTAAGTCCATTGGATAAGGTATAGTGGAGTTAGTCAAATCTTTGGACAATGTGAAAGGTGGTTTGACAAAAGGACCAGACATAAAGGTATTACAGCTAAAAGGGGAAGACAGCGTCAAAGATCGATTGTCATCCATTACATCACAGAATGCAAAGCATGACTTGAAGGAGGGGGAAATATCGCCCTCAACAGCTGGAAGTAGAAAAACAACTCTGTTGAGGGGGTGAGCGTTAAAAAAGGGTTAGGTACATTTTTTGGAGAGACTGAAGAATTGCAAAAGGAATTTCGGCTAGGGTGGTGTCTAGGAACATTAGGCGGATGCCCAAGCAGGCTAGTGTTACGAGTTATCGCAGCAACTCTAGGCATCCTAGTCTTTTTGTACGCAATCAACGGTAAAGGCTTTGGGTTGGAAACGGGGAGGCGCCTACGGCTAGAGTTTAGGGAGGTATTTATGGTATGAGTGTCCGTATTCTCAGGAGTCCTAGGGTTCAATTTTAGAAGTATAGTGGCGTCCCGAGTAGGAGAGGTAGGGGGCAGGCATTGTTTTTTATTAGGTATGTTAAGTACTGCAGACTGACGGTTAGGGCGAGTAGCACGTCTCTTGTGGGAATTTCGAACCACTAGGTCTGTCCCTTTATCTTTAGGACAATGTTTATGTATTACAAAAGTGCGATTGACCTGTGGTTTACTTGTAGATGGGCTTTTGACTACGGGACAAGTTGCAGCACTTTTGTTCAGGGGACAGGTCTTCGGACTAATAGTCACTTTGGATCTGTTCTCCGTTTTAGGAGGGGTGGAGTTAGGTATGGTAGGGTTAATGTGACATTCGTGATTGTCGCTGCTACTAGTACACGAATCGGCCGGCATAGTTGAAAGGCCATTGGTAATACGGCGTTGTATAGTAGTTTTATCCCTGATAATTCTAATCTTCTTAAACAAAGGAATGTGTCTAAGCAGTGACTGACTGTTAATAAAGTGATTGGCTTCGATGACAGTACTAAATTGAAGAAGAATGGGACAGGAAAATTTAGTCTGAATTTTACGAAGCCTCCGTGCTACACACCAAGAGCCGGACAATTCACACTCTTTAAGGAGAGTGTTTTTAACAGAATTGAGGCTAGCACTGTCAGGTACGTTATAAACAATCGCATTCTGCATGCACTGAAGTCTTTTTAACACTTCAGAGGATATGTGGTCAATTACTATTTCCGTTTTTTTAATGATATCGAGATCAGGATTTTCAGGAACACTGACCAGGTATTTGTAAGGTAGTAAATCCTGAATGGTTTGGTTGATATCGAATGCACTTAAGGTGTCCTCAGAAATAATAGTGGGGAATCTATTGCAGTTCAGTTCACAGCTGTTAAAGCGAATAGGATGATGAACAGACTTGCTACAAGTGTTTTGCGGTTGCTCAGTCTGCGTAAATTCATCCGGAGTTATGAACATATCAGAAAGTGAACAGTCCAGATCAACAGTACCGGATTTCCTATGGCAAAAAGACCTAGCTACATTTTTCGGATTGCTGTGAATTTGATCCGCTTGCGGGCTCGTCTAATGTTTAAGATCAGCCACACTTTCTAACAAGTGCTCACAGGAATCTATTTCAGATGAAACAAAAGAAGTAGTGGATGGTGTCGAGTCACTCGGAAGGAGGTGAGTTGTGTATATCAACGAGCGGGATACAAGGTAAAGAGATGTCGTTTACAAGTTCACGGTAAGATTCTATTAAGCCAGTGGGGAGATCAGAATAAAATACGGATGGAGCACTGTTCTTACGTTTGATTTTATCGAATTTATTAGCTGATTTGGATATTTTACAGATGTTATATTCGACAGGTGAAATCAAGTGTTTTTTAGATAAACGTGAAATCTTTGTGGAATTATTTGTAAGCAGAGTTGTGTTACTATAGGCACAATGTCTGTTTGGAATTATGAAGCCAAAAACTACAGCGAAAATTACTAAAATAAGAATAACCGAGGAGTGGTTGTAAGAGATGAGTTAATATGTACCGTTGAAATAGAGTAAAAAGATCGGAAAACGGAAAAGATAATACACGTGAAAAAAAGTTGCTGAGCTACTGAATCTAAATAACTGATAGCATGTTGAATGCATATGAAAGTATCATAATGGAATGAATTTACAATTTCTGTTGGAGATAATTAGGACTGTTGTTTATGATTTTGTGCAAACAGAAACGGCACTCTGAAACTACTGCCACATACGTCACCCATGACAACGGAAACTGATCAATCCGAATTCTGATTTGTAGAGACAGGAAATGGAAACCCTATGCTAATGTTTTCACAATGTTCACTTTAAAATGTGCAAACGGTATCTGTGAAATAGTTACAAGCAAAAAGTCTGATGATTTCGTAAACGAAATGAATATAATTTACTATTAATTACAACATTTTATTCAGTACGATTAGGGCTATCTACTGGATAATGGAAGTGATGCATTGCTCGAGTTTCTATAACGATGAGTAATATTTTTCCCCAATGATCTGCTTTCACCTTTGTAAACTGATAATTCGGGACGTTTCATTTTCTGTTTCATTTTGACATTGGAATTGTCGGGATACAGAACACGTTTATTCATGTATTTATCTCTTCGTTTTGATTGAGTTGTTTTTATATGATATTGTTTACTTTTTATATAACCGAATAAATTGAAAGCGTTAATAAATGTACTACCACGATAACCTTTGGACATTCCACGTGATTGGAATTGTGAATCATCATGTCGTCGACCATATTTATCCGTTCCAGCGTGTAATGTAAAATATGTACTTTCTGAATAACTTCCACCTCTGACACTGTTTCCACAAGATCGAATTTTACCATTTCTACGTGCATAACCATCATGTCTAGATCGAATAGATTTTCTATTTTGTTCATAATTCCCATTAGGATTATTTTCTTTTCGTTTAGTATTTGTGCGTTGTATTGAAACGTCATTGTAATTGTTAGATTGATAAGTTATGTTATTCTTCGAAGGATAATGGTGTAAACGTTCACTGTGATTGTATTTGTTATCACTGATGTCATCATTTTCATCAGTTTTGATAGATTCTATCGATGTCAATAAGATAATAAGTACAAATAACGAATATATATATTTCATGATTCTATTTTTAGGCATAAAACAACTATTAAGCTGATGTTGCATAATTTTGTGAAACTCAATGTTTTTATAACGAAGTTTGATATAAATGTTATACTTATAGTACTTTGTTATATGTTCAATGATAGAGTTGATTTGATGTTCTTTAAATCAATATAGTTTCTCGTTACTGCATTTCATAGCATAATCAAAGTTCATTGAATAGCGCATATATAAGATTTATTAATTTTAGAGAAATATCTATCGATATTTGACACTTTATATAGAAAAAACAATGTTACTGATTTTCATTGTTATTTAGCGGACTTTTGAGAGAACATTTCATTGTGATGATGAGAATGCTGAAAATAGCAAGCAGGGTCTATGGTGAATCTTTTGAAGTCATTAGGATTACAGTGGGAAATGATCATTTGAAAACTTGCGAAATCGTGTTAAGTGCTATCTTATCTGATATCAAACACTAACTACATTTACATCTTTCTGTCTGTGTTGAACATGACACTGATACGTCAGAATCTGTGCATGCAAACAATGCTATTAAATGTCTACAATATATATTCATTGACAAAGAAGTTATGCAACGAACCGGATGTAAGAGATGATCTAGTCAGAACTTATTTTCCTATACATGTTACTAACTAAAGGTTTTAGAGAAAGTTTGAGTATCAAAGAACATTATTTTTAAACTTCACATAGCTAATTTACTATATTTCCATATAAAAATAAATATGTATAGAGTAATCAAATGTTTGTTGAGATATTGGTTGTATGAATTCCATATTGAACTAAACGCATAATATTGTATAACATACTTAATCACTCTTGAAGTAGTAAAATTAATTTTATTTGTAAAAACAGCAAATATATGGATTTAGTATTCATAATGTTGTAGACGATTGAATGTAGTGAATTCAAGATGAATTACATTCTCATACATTTTTCTACAACTTTTTGGATCAATTTAGTTCAACGAATACAATATGTAGCGTTGTTTTATTTTCGTGGGATACCTACGATAATTTTTGAATTATTTTGGAGATCACCAGTTTCTTTATCTTCAGTCAATTTTAGACGGTTAAATTTACTATCCCTACGTCCATCCGAATTTTGGTGATTGTTATCAATGTCCGAAGATAACTTTATTTCAATGTGATGACCACTCTCTGTGTCTGTTCCTAATCCCATAGTTTTACGTCTGGAAGATACACCGCCATTAATATCGAAATAATCATAGGAGAATCTTTTCGAGTAACTCTTTCTCTTTCCACCTCTCTGTATTTTCGAATGTTGGAATGCGCGTCTTCCATATCGGTCAATTGATCCCTTCACTTTGAATCTGTATGATCGAGTTGACAAACTATCGTATTCTCCTTTTCCATGCCGTTTGAAATTTCCATGAAGATTTGCTTTTTTTTCATCTCTAAATGCATATCTGTTGCTTGATTTTCCAGTCAGCCATGTCAAGCCGAATTCAAGACCATTTTTATCTCTACTATTTGTATTGTTTGTTTCCGAACGTTCCCTATGTCTACTCATTTCGTTTTCATGTGACTTGAACGTTTCGTTGGTTTCTCCTACTGAACTTTGGTCTATAATAGTTGGTTCACTGATTATGTTATGTAAGAATACCAAATTCAAAAAAATCACAATTTTCATTGCTCTCCTTGCTCACATGAATAATATTCATTTAGAAAATTTTAATTCTTTCCAATTATATACTAATTGTGTAGAATTATATTCTTGCATAATGTTCGCAATTCACTATCATATTGTTGCACTCGAACGGTTGATCATTTGTCATATTTGAGTTTATTGGTGATGATTTGTTGATGTTGAATAAATGACGCAGTGTTTTATGCTGTATCACTATTTAAATAGAGACTAACTATGAGACTGAGTGATGATTTGTATTACTAGCTAGTTTATGTATGCTTGGTATCGGAATAATCCTGAGGTCATGGTTTTACTGAACACACACACTTACAATTGAATTAGCATGATGATACTAATGTGTACTGAATGTTTCGATAATTGCTTACGGTATTCTCTGAACGATTGAGTTTGTCGCAGTTTATGAATAATCTTGGTGAAAGTTTAATATGTTGAAACTTATTTAGATAGTTGAAAAGGAGAGTGACTTATTAATTAGAGAAATTACCAGCTTATTAGTTGTTCAATTTACTAATATTTTTGATGCATTTTGCTCAGTCTTTTTCCAAATTTTTTTTAATGTCGCTTTTCAAGTGCTTCAATAAAACTTTCTCACTGAACTGTTATTTTTTCATGCGTTTATTGATGTTGCATTTATTACATTTTTCACATTGAAACTTTAAGTATGCCGAGTTGATTAAAGCAATAACATTTGTTCGTGTTATGGACAGACATATAGATACAACGCAGAACTTCGTTAGTACGTATATCAGTTCAGGTTGCCATGCCCCATCAGCACACAGACGCAACTCTCAGTTCAAATCCAAGTGTGATAGCAATAGTAGAAGTATTACTAGTAATGGAGAAGATTAGGGATTAAAGACATGATTCGAGAAGTATAATTCAGTAAGAGAAACTTAGAAGGAGATAGGTAGAGATAATGAGGAATTCAGAAGGTTAGAATTAAAGAAAACAGAAGGAGTGGATGCATTTGCGCCACTGCAAACGATACTGAGCCACGTCGTTCAAGGTCTCTAACTATTGATGACTATCGTCTTACTGACCCTGACCACGTAACCTACATCTAACAACATGAATCAGTTCACTTTTCAGTGAATTCATGCATTTCTGCCATGTTTTTGTTTAGCCGCCCCTAGCTTTCTTTGAAACTACTCCTACACCACAAAACATAGCTCGTCGTGGCAGTCGGTGGTTAGGCAGACGTAACATATATCCCAACCACCTCAAATGATGAAGTTTCACTACTTCATCTATTGATTTGCCATCCCCACCTAGAACGCGTTTCCTAACGACAGCATTGCCTACTCGGTTTTCCAACGATAAACGAGTAATGCTTCGACTAGTAACCTAACAAGGTCCTCTACTCGTAACAGCCAAGTTTCGCATCCGTAAAGTAGGATGGGGCAAACTGCTGCACAGTACACTCGTCCTTTGGTTAGCAAACACATATCTCACCAAAGCCATAAATGACGCAATTTAACAAAAGCCAATTGACCTTCTGGTATTCGTGCTGAGATTTCGTCACAAATCAGGTCATCAGCACTGATGAGACTCCCGAGATAAGGGTAGCGGTCAGCATGCTCAACTGCTTCACTCCCTATCATTAGTTTAGATACCGATGAAACCCAACCTTGAAGCAACATTTTGCATTTCGAGGAGAAAACCCGCATCCTTAACATGCTTGCGTTGTTGCTTACGGTAGTCAGAAAACTCTGCATTTTGTCAGCGTCCTCACCGAATAGAACTATGTCATCTGCATATTCTAGGTCAGTCAGCGATTTTACTGGGAGAAAGTCGACTCCTGATAATTCAGACGAGGATAAGGTTACATCTAGCAGCATGTCTATGACAACGTTAAACAAAAATGGGGAAGTGGACATCCCTGACGGACACCACTTGAAGTGACAGTTCACCATAAGCTCTCACTCGACCAGGGATGTTCGAGTAGAGAGCTTGTATAAGGTTAATGTACTTCTTCAGTACACCTTTCAATGACAGACACTGCCACAGAACCTCACGACCAACAGAGTCGAATGTCGCCTTAAGGTCCAGGAAAACAACTGTTGTAGGTCGCCCAAATGTGTGTCTGTGTTCCAGGACCTGTCGTAGTGTGAAGATGTGGTCTATTCATCCACGTCTAGGTCAGAAACCGGCCTGATCTTATCTAGTCTGCTCTTCACGAGATTTCGTTCAGTGTCAAAATATTATTGAGGCCAATATTTTAGAAACTATATTAGTTAGACTTATTCCCCTGTGATTGTCACAAGAAAACGTTTGCCCTTTCTTATAGATTGGGACAATCAGAGATTGAGATCAATCAGATGGGATTGTGTCCAGTTCTTAGATTCTACCTAAGATGTCAGTCAATCTAGCTGCTAAAACTGGACCACCATCCTTAAAAATCCCAGGGGTAAGCCTATCAGGGCCTGCTGCTCGCTCTCGCTTTAGATTTCCTATAGCCCTTTCAACTTCATAACGGTTCAATGGGCTTACGTCAACTTGCCATTCAGGATGACTGGAGATCGTGGGTACCCAAAGAGTGGCTCGAGGCCAGTTGAACTGATCCCTAAAGTGTCCTGCGCATCGATCCAGTCTCCTGGATTGAGAATAAATAATAGTCCCACACTTTTCCGAGATAGTCTCACTCACATTCGGTTTCCTAATTCCGGTTTCTTCGATAAGGCGGAAACGTTGTCTAGTGTTGCCTATCACCGCTGCCTTTTCCATCGCTTTTGCTTTCGCCACTCACCACTGTTCACGGTCATTACGTAGGCTTTTTATCAGCCTGCACCTAAGCTGACCTCGTTCTTCATCCCGTTCAGAGCCAGGTGGGGTGTGTTTTCGAGCATCCATCAGTTCGGTGGATGCGACTGATATCCACGGCTTCATCCTAGCCTAATGGTTTACCTTACTAGCAGATATCACTGCTTTTTCCACAGCCTTTCTGATATCGTTCAAACCTGCTTCCGGATGAAAATTGCCCACATGGTCACTTAACTGTCTTCCTAGTTGTTCCTGATATATATTTATAGCCTAATTATCATTAAGTAGAACCCTGAAAGTTTTCCTTGCAGTGTCTTTCCTACGTGCAGTAAGCCTCAAACAAATAGGCGCTCGCACTAGGGCATGATCTGAATCTAAACTGGTGCCCCAGAACGAGCGGCAGTCCTCTATCGAACCTCTCCATCGGTGGCTAATGGCGATATGATCTCGTTGCGTCCAACGTTGAGACGACTTCGGGTGTCGCTAGGTCAATAAATGTTTTTCCTTATGCTTAAAATTAGTGTTTGCTAGAAATAGACGGTTATCTGAGCACAGTTGCAACAGACGGTCGCCATTGTCTGTTCTTTGAGCCGCGACACCATAAAACCCACCCAGGTGTCTTTCATTTTCACTTAGTCTACCTACTTGTGCATTGAACTCACCAGCCATTATAACTACATCAGTCAAGGAGAGATTGTTCTGCCCTACGACTCAATGCTATACCTACACCAGCGAGGCCCCTGGAAGCAGCATCAGGGCTACCGGATACACGAAGAGTAAATCGAGCTGCTTCTTTATTTTGACAAGGTGAAATCAGATTAATAATTTTACTAGGATCCTGTATCCGCGTTTCCGAGACGCAGCACACATCGATGGCATGAGATTCTAGAGTCCTAGCTAATGAAGCCTGTTGCTCTATTTGAAACAATGTTCGTACATTGTATGCTCGAACATGCAGTTTAGAACGGGGTTTAAGGAGACCATGAACGACGTTTCGCGAACTCGCTTCGTTTGCATTAGCTGTGCACTGTGATAAATAAATGTGAGAAGAGTTAGTCGTGGAGATAAGAGAGGTATTAGGGGGTGTAGGAAGGATTTGATTTTGACCAATTTGGTCTCTCGTTCTGTTACGGGTATGAGGGCGGTTGTCACTTCCCAGCTGCCCACACCGTGGAAGGTTGTTTCTTGAGGAACCTGGAAAGGAAGGTAGACTGGCGTTGGGCTTAGAGACCTGGGAGCGTGACCGCAGAATTCAAGGGACAACTGCTCGAGGCCATCACGCCCGTCCCTTTCAAGAAGGGTTTTTGAGTATTAGCTCCGCTCTTGAAAGCCTATAGTGGGCACCCTTACCGACGGAGAAGGAAATCCGTGAGGAAGAGTGAGGTGTGACATATGAGGGTCGACATTTACTAACACTTCATTCCTTGTGAGAAGGCAGCATCGATGTCGATGCTGATTGTTCGAGGTTAACACGTGAGTGCTGTCACAACTCTACACAGTCAGCAGTACAACATCGCCCTTAGAGCTTGGATGGCCGCTTTTAGTCTGATCGTTCTCCAATCGACCTGCCTGGCATGTTAGAACCTTCGAGAACATATGTTCCAGCCAACATAGATCGGTTAGATCATCACGATAGGCAAGCCCGACCACCACGTAAAGGTAATAGCTTCGGTCGCGTGTTGATGCAATACATTTTCAACAATCTGGTCATGTACAAACATGTCAGAGGATTTCATATTCAAACAAAAATCAATGAAACAAACTGTTTAATGGTGAAAGTATAAATTGTAAATGGATTTCTACGGTGGCAGTTTCAATGGTTTCCAATAAGTGCAACCTGAACTCGTATCTCCCAGTCCGAAAGTCCAGAAAACGCAAAAATTCTAGGAGAAAACGGTCCTTATTAATGAAAAGATGGAAATACAAAGCAATACCTGGAATTAATGCACCTTACAGGTTACAATTACTCCGAAGAGTATCCGACAAAGATGAATAAGTGACGTTAAGTCCAACTGCTACCGGATCAATCCAAATATGGCTGTAGCCATATTGAAGATCAAATTTAAACAACATATATACAGATCAGAAGCAAACACAAAAACTTCAATATAAGTACAAAATAAAGAAATAATAACAGTAATCAATGATAAAATCTCAAATTTGGAATCAAATAAAATACCAAAAATGTCAACAGAAAAGGTCCGTCATGTTATAACAAAAAT